GGCGGTAACTTCATCATCATCGTCGCCACGCCGCCGTGCTGACGGAACCCACCCTCATCCTCAACTGGATCAAGAGCTCGAGGGACGTCATCGTGTTGAATGTGTGCTAAACACGGAGGTACTGTACGTTCGGTACTTGGATCGGTTGGATCGTGAAGACGTTTGACTACATCAAACGCGTTACTAAACGCTTCCGGTTTGGATCTACGAGGGTACGTGGACACACTCTCCCGTCTCGTTGCTATGCATCTCATAAATAGATCTTGCGTGATCGTAGAATTTTTTTTGAAATATTGTGTTCCCTAGCAAGCAGTGGCTCAAGTGGCTGCCCACGATAGAGTTCTGGTACAATACCACCTATCGCTCATCGCTAAACACAACACCGTTCCAGGCGCTCTACGGCAAAGAACCCAACCTGGGTGGTCTACCTACTTTGGCCACCAGGTTGCCCGCGGATGCAAGCACCGAGCTGGATTGGGCAACTCACAGTGGCTGGCTCCGTGATCAATTGGTGCGGGCTCAAAACAGGTGCAAGCAAAAGGCTTATGGCAATCGTACAGAGCGGTCCTTCGAAGTGGGCGATTCAGTGCTACTCAAGCTTCAGCCATATACTCAGTCGACAGTGGCTAACCGCCCGTGCCCCAAATTGGCGTACAAGTTCTTTGGTCCATTTCAGATTCTGGAACGCATTGGTACTCTGGCTTACAAGCTCCAGTTGCTGGACGACAGTCGCATACACCCAATCTTTCATGTCTTGCAGCTCAAGCCCTTCATGCCGGACTATAGTCCAGTTTTCTTAGAGCTACCCCATGCACCGGACCTCACAGCGGCACCGCTACAACCTATTGCCATTCTCGAACGTCGCATGGTGAAGAAAGGCAACAGCTCAATCGTGCAGGTCAAAGTTCAATGATCTTCTTTAGCTCTTGAATCCTCGACCTAGGAGGATTATTCAGTGCTCCGTCAGCGCTGCCCGGAGGCAAGCTGTTGGGATGAAGACGCCCGCGCTCAAGGTGAGGCAAATGTCACACCTTTTTTCGAAAAGGGGTTTACCCCAGCCTCTGCATCAGAACGATGCATACGGCTCATATTATTAAAAACATAATCCAATAGCAAAGTCGCCAAGTATCGAGGTGCGAAAATAAACAAAAAGCTCGAAAGAGCTAAAACCCAAAGCCACAACCGGCTGGCAAACACAATAGGAGCACTACATGCCTATCCTATTACATTACCGCCATCCAAATCGGTTGAAAATATCCCGCGCTACCATCTCCCATCGGGTAGACGCAGTAACCAAACGCTCCCTGGCCTTCGTCGGAGTGAGTAGCGACCACATACGGATGAACGCCGTGGCCCTGAAAATAACCTGCAAAAAGTGAATGTTTGTTGATCGGTTAAATACTTAAATGTCACACCTGATACATGAGTCTCGGTGGACCTGGAAGGTGAAATAGATAGAAAGGGGTGAGCGTGTGTGTGTGCCAGTGGGTCACATGTGGCCGGGCGTGTGTGTGTGTGCGCGCAATTATAAGAGACCTACCCTGTACTCTGTGGAGACTTATGAAATGAGAAAAGTCTAGTTGCTCTCATCCCCTTTCTCTCCTTCTCACCTACCCTGCTCCCTGCTCCTCTCCTCATCCCCTACCTCTGGCCGTGAGGCCCATCCCCTCTTCGGTCGTCACAATATGATGTTCTTATTGCATGTCTAGACCTGTATGTTTACTCCTGTCAGTGGTGGAGCTTGACATAGATTGTTGAGGGGGGCCAAAAGGACAAATGCTGCTCGGCCACTACTCCTATTTCTGCTTTGCTTCAGTGTAAATATTCCCGGAGTACTGTGGCTAGGTTGAAAATTATTGCTTGTAATTTATTATTTGTGGGAGGGCAGGCCTCGCGCAGTGGTGAAGCCCTCCCCACTTGTGCCGGCTCCTCTACCGTGCTGTTAAGCACGGCACCCTGCCCTGCCTCCTTATGGCGCTAGTGGACGCAGGCATATGGGCCTTGCGAAAAACCAATGTAGCTACCCAGCCCATCCGTTCAATGCATCATACACCTGAACAGATTAACGAATTAACTACCCCTCAAAAAAAGATTAACGAATTAACTGTAATTAATACAGTACATGACTAACGAAAAGGAACTTGTTTTAAAAAAAAGTAGTTTTACAAAATCTCAGTCTTATTTTAGTGGAGCGGAATATGTCATTTTCCTATCTTCTATTTATTATTTTAATCCATTCGATTGGTACTTTTTTTTTTGTTTTTGTGTGCTTTTATTTTTACCCGCCGATCACACATAATTTTAGTTGCCTGCCAACCGATCATGCGAAACTGAAGTCGCATGCATGTGCACCGGCGATCTGCCCCTCAAGTTCATGAGGGTGGGAGATCTGTGGAGAGAGCTAGCAAATGAGCCGATGAGGGCGAGCCCTCAGGTGATCCAGAGGCCCGGGGTATTTCTCATGTTAAAGAAAAGCATGCACCGGCGTGCATCTACAATTGCATGTCCATCTATCGCCGATGTCTTCGTGCACAGGCGACATCATTGGGAAGAGAACAAGTGTGTGCCTTGGTCGGCTGCATGGCCGCCTCTCTCACGATCTTCGACAAATATATTCATGTATTAAAAACATAAAACTAGAAAAAGAAGAACGAAAGAAAAGTGTGTTATTTAAAATCATATATTTGTAATACATGGATATATTTATTTTTTGCGGGTAATATATTTGTTGAAACTTGTGAGCGAGGCGGCTACACAGCCGAGTAGGAAACTCTAGCCGCAACCCAGTGGCGACCAAAGGGGGAACCGGCTCCTCTACCGTGTTGCCATGCCTCCTTGGCGCTAGGGGTCGCACGCATATCTGCCTTGTCAAAAACTAAATTAGTTCGGCTTTGCTACACTTACAGGATGTTACAGGGAAAAGAGGAAGAGGAGGTTATAGGGTGATATTACAGTTTTTAATTGGTCATTAGGAGCAGCACGGACCCACCCACATTAAAATCAGGGAAGGGGGATGTTTAGAAAGTTTGGAAGGAGCCTATAGAACTCCTTTAAAAGCCTGCATGTCTAGCATTTTTGAAAGGACAACGTTAACGCCCACATGTGTGGTGGGAGCGAAACCCGCCCACACACCCTGTAGTACACAGACTGCGCCACGTCGCTGTATGCATGCATGCATGCGAGAATTTTTTTGGATTTCCTGTTTTTAAAATGTTTTATCTCTTAAATAAAAAATCCGATTGAAGATCCGTTTTCACCATTAAATCTCTTGCAATGAGATCTTCGAAACTAGATCTCATATCAATATATTTCGATGAATTTTTTTTGGTTAAAATTTGCCATGTCTATTGCATATGAATTGCCATGGTGTTTACACTGAAGTTGCCATGATATATTTTAACAATTTTATTCTACATTTAAAAGTAAATTTTGACATTTATAAAACAGGAAATTAAGAAAGTAAAATTTAACCATAAACTGATATTGCCATGATGCATGCACTTAAAATTGCCAAGGTTCATACAAAAAATATTTTTCATGGTCAAAGTACTGCAGTTGCCATCATCAAAATACTAAAATTGCCATGCTCTACAAACTGAAATTGCCACATGAGAACTTTAGTTTAAGCACTATGTCAACTACAGTGAAAACATCATGGCAACTTCTGGGCAAAAAGAATTTTCGTCGAAACATATCAACATGGGTTCTAGTTTTGAAGATCTCATTGAGACGGATTTAATGGTGAAAACAGATTTTTAATTCGACTTTTTAGTTAGGAGATAAAACTTTTTAAGCCGAAAACCAAAATAATCCTGCTGATGTCATATATTCACATGTGGCAAAATGAGTAGTAAAGGAGACATGTGGGCGATGTGCAATATGCCACACGTGTGGGC